TTTTTTTATATGGGCTCTGATTACTCCCCACCCCCTGTCCTGATTTTTCACACTTGCTATCTGGTCACCCAGCTGCTTGTAGGATTCCCTGAGCAGGATTCCCTGAGTAGGATTCACTCAGGATATTAACTGAGGCCGAAGAAACTAATAATTATCCCTCTGTGACGTTACACCACAGATTCTTTATGGAAATATGCTTATGATATGGGTATGGCCTAACTGAGGTATATTTTATGCAAGATGGGTCTTTTGTATAATCAGAAAGGTTATAATTTACTGAAAGTGATTATCCAATTTGTATGCCTGTATCATTTCTGTACCTAATGTTAGGTATATTGACTATGTAACAATGACACCTGCGTGTGTATTTGGGAGACACCCACCAGACAACAGGCCATCAGCCTTGATAGGCCATTAGGAAGAAACAATAAGACTTTGAAGATACTAATCTCTCTCCTTTCTGAGAGATGTCCTGGGATGTAGCTGTCACACTACTAGGTCAGGTGGTCCTGCCACCTGGTACTAAACACCATCTTGGACTTCTAGTAATTTTCCACTAAAAGGAGGGGGCGGTCAAGACTGGGAAACAAAAGATTCCCGCCTTATGTAAATCTTATTTGAGGCTGGGGAGTAAGGCAAACAGGACTCTTCTCCATTGCCTTCCAGCCCAAGAAGAAAGACTGCTGAAAGTACCTGAAGAGACAAAGGAACTGAACGGTGGGAAAAGCACGGGCTAGTCCAGACTAAGACAGGAGTCAGACTAAGTCTAGCCTGTAAAGTGAAATTACTGGAACTCTAAGCTACAGAAACTCCGCAACTTGCCTAAAACAACATTTAGGGTGGGAAATTATTTCTTGAAACCAGTCCCTTTAAGATCTTAAGCTTAGTATGTGTGTTTTGTTTTATTTGCTTGGTAATCTGCTTTGTTCTGTTTGCTATCCCTTATAAGCACTTAAAATCTGCCTTTTATAGTTAATAAACTTGTTTTTGTTTATTATTAAATCCAGTTTGTGCAATTGCTAACTGGGGGAGGAGGGAAGAAGTTGTGCATATCTTCCTCCACACTGAGGGAGGGGGCGAATTTATGAGCTTACATTGTATAGATTTCTCTGCAGCGCAAGACAATATTATTTTGCGTGTACTTTCCAGAGGGGAGCTGCACTTGAGTGCTGGGTGATTTCCTAGCTGAGTCATCTCATAGAGAGCTGTTTGCAGACTCTGTGGGATTCTACAGCTGGTGTGGACCTACCCGTGTGTGTGTGCTGCCAGAGGCCGGAGAGCCTAATTCAGCAAAACAGGGAGAGGGAGCCCAGGCTAGCGGAGCAGGCAGGCGCATTGAAATCCCAGTACATCAAGTGACATCCTAGAATGGGAGGCCAATCTGTCACACCCACCTCCTTCTGACCCAGGCTGGCTTTATAATGCTTATTCTGACCCCCACTTTTCCTTTGGCTTCAGTAGCGTTACTCTCCCATTTGCACTGGTGGAAGAGCGATCAGACTAAGGTCCTATATGGCCAAACTTTGCAAACCTGGGTGCCCAAAGTTAGGCCCCCTAAATTCTTATTTAGACACCTACATGAAAGTGGAGTGATTTTCAGAGGCTCTAAATGCCAACAAATCACACTGATGTCACTGGAAGTGCAAGTGTCCAGCACCTTTGGAAATCAGTCCACTTATTTAGGGGATAGTAAGAGAGAACGAAATCCATGGCTGCATACTTAATGATAGAGCAGTGGTACTCAGACCTCAGCGGTTCAGGAGCCAAATTGGTGATCAATGTTACCCAAAAGAGCCCCAGTATTGCGAATTCATTGTTTCATTTACTATTCATATTTAAACAATCTGATGGGGAAATATTTAGTTTATATATAAGTCTCATGGCAAATAAGTTAATAACTTAGTGCAAGTTGATAACTTAATTGGTTAATAATGTAGTAAAAGTATCCTGATTGGTTACTAATTAAATCACACTGTTTTAATATCATGGGCTGCAAAGAGCTGCAGGGGATACATTAAAGAGCCTACCGCAATCTGAGCATCACTGCCCTAGCCCCTTGTGAGTGGTGGGAATCTGGCTTTGGCTGGGATTTTAGATTTTTGGGCCCATCTCCAGTACAGCTCACACACGTTATACGAGAATGGCTACTATGTATTGTGCATTCATGGCATGATCGTGAGGGATGCTGCACTCAAGGCGAGTGCTCAGGACCTGATAGGATTAAGTGAGTAGGTAGCACATTTCATCCTACAGGACCGCTCAGTGCTCTACACCAGCACAGAGACACGTACGTGACTCACGTCACCCACTGCTGAAGTGCAGCTATTCCTGGGGTGGAATGCAGCAACTGTTTGGCACAACGCAGCCCGTTAGGATGAGAAGTGACGGAAATGCCATAACCAAGGAAATCTGCAGTGAGGGAAGAAGGCTGACAAAATATAATTACCCCAAACTGGAGTGCAACCTCGACACTGGGTCACAGCCCTAGTTCTGCATGCTAGAATGGAGTGAATCCAGGACTGGGACACATCTTCTCTCCCTGGCAAAAATAAGGTAGCGCATCTCACTGCCCACTGTCACCTAGGCTTTCTGTTTCCAGAAAGGGAACAGCTGCAGAGAAACTCCAGTGATATGCATTTCCTTATAACCTTCCCCCTCTTAAATCTAGTTGTAGTGAGACTGAGGCCTGATTAGTTGGTAGCTTTTAGCTACCCATTAATATTCTATCACCCATGGCTTCACCGAAATGCAGCAGCACCAAGCTGACCGATACTCATGAAATTCCAGCCATAAGAGCAAAACAATGTTTCGATTTGAAAAGCCAGTCTGGCTTTCTAATGAGCTGAAAGGTAGGACCCAGCTGTACAGGGGGCCAACAGAAGTTGTCTAAAATTAATGGTACACAAGGTTATAAATAGGGTGTCATGCATTTTTATGCCCACTAACATAGCGACATGTAGAGTAGGCTACCATGCACTGTCTATGGTAGAGGATTAACTCTTTCTGGTTTTCCTGGGCTGAGACCAAAAATAGCAACCCACACCCTCCACCATCAGCACCATTTGTCCAGTCCATCTTCGGGAAGGAAGTAAAAGCAACTGTTCCCAAACCTCAGAGGCGTGTTAGGGTTCCATTCCCACAATAAGCAAATGGATAAGCTGCAAGTACATGCCTGAAGCCATTGGAACCGGTGTCCCTCAAGCAACTCCTGGTGCAGCTCCATTGTTCAAGCTGGGGGCAGGACAGAGGGAGCTTGTGCATGGAACGTAGACCATTTGTATGCCAAGAGGGCCAGCTCGGTGGGGAGGCACCATCCCTGCACTGCAGGGCAAAGCCAGGCAAGGAGTGATCCTCTGCTGCATTTTGGCTGTTCTATGCCGCACTGGCAGCCCAAGGAACTTAACCAGACTCTTCAGGAGTCTGTCCCTTTGCCTGGGAGATTCCTTAGGGTATAGATGTACTGCAGTAACATCTGTGCCATGCCACCAGTTAGGGGGGGGGAAAGGAGGCCCGGCCAGTGCGTCCCTATAGCATGACAAACCTTCAATAGCACAAGAGCAATCTGTGGCCGTGGGCAACCAGTGTGTAATCAAGGTGCAAATTAGCACCAGGGGGAAGCACAAACATGGCTTAAAGCAACGTTTGAACCCCATTGTCCTGAGCAGCCCGGGCCCTACCACAGGGAGACCCAACCACCCCAGATCCCATCCCACATGTCTCTTTGTTGGCAAAGAAACCAGAGACTGGAAAGATGCAAAGAAGCCATTTCAGAGGTGCTCACTTTGCTTTGGGACCAGAATTTTCTATTCAAATTCTCCTTGGTATTTCAATCCCAAGGCTTTGTATTTCACTGGCCAAGTCATAATCTTGCAGTGACAACAGTTTTCAGGAAGGAACATGGTTTAAATGTATGGTATGTGCTGGTTTTATTTTACCTTCCATGGATGGCATGTCAACCATCCCTATGGCTGGGGTCTAGGTCTAAACAGAACAACAGACGAGCAACCATGTAATACAAAGAAGATAAACTTTAGCCTCTATATGATGTCCAGCTGTGTTTTTGCAGAAGGCTTCTGGTGACAGCACAGACTAGAGAAGCAAAGCTTGTGGGAACCAACCATGGAATCAGACAAACTCAAGTAGAACATAAACAGAGTAATGGGTCAATTTCTGCTCAGAGACACCGGTGTAAATCCATAGTAACTCCACTGAAGTCAGTGGCGTTAGTGTTTAATGCCGCTAGGATAAATTCAGAAGGGATATATAAGACGCAAAGGGATATGTTATACCTTGCCAAGTCAGTAGGAGTCTAAGACCCCGGTTGAGCACAACACCTAAGTACGTGCTTAACTTTAAGCATGTGCTTAACTGGTTTGTTGAATCAGGGCCTAAGTCATTTAAGGGAAGGTAGAGGAAGTCCAGCTAACATGCGCGTTGAGAAAGGCAAACCATCTATATTATATGAAGTGAGACACCCTCTAAACTCAGTCCATACATCCAGATAAGTTTGCTAGCTAATATGAGGTCAGAAGTTCCAAACTTTAGCAGCTGTATTTTTAGAGGATGATGCTGCATTTATAATAATAAGGGGCAAATTCTGCTCTCTCTGACACCGATATAAATGCAGAGTAATTCATTTGGCAGCAGAGTTAAATGAAGAACGCAGCAGTCCTGCTATTTTAATGACTAGACCATAGTTCTTCTCGGGTCTAATAAGTCACAGAGTTCTGCAGTGCCTAACAACACAGCATAAGCAACCTGTAAAATGTAAACAACTCCTCAATTTCTCACCGATTTATTTTGACTGCCTCCTATCGTAATGTTTTATTTCATTATTTTAAAATCCAGAGAGAGATTTCTGAAAAGTTACATAGAAAAAGGAAATGTGAGGATCAGAAATAAGGCTCATGGCCTGGACATATAAAACACACAGAGGAAAGTATTCATGAAACCAAATCTAACCAGTGGAAAACAAAAACTGACAATGTGGTAACTTCCAGGAAGTCCTTTATTAAGAGATAAAGGCTAGCATTACAACTGGACTATCCATTTTCAAAGATTAACAAAACAAAACAAAACCCAGGATAAAACAAGAAAATGTTTCTTTGTTAAAATAAAATTAGAACGTTTATTTCTATTGGTTTGTTATGATTACAAAGCTTGATTGGAAATTGCGTCCTGATTTGCACACCAAACAGTAGTGAGACACCAGTTGTGTAACTAAGCAGTTAGAAAGATTAGCGAGATTTCCTCCCCCAAAACTCCACTGCGGGTGTACGATGGGGGCGGACAGCAGCAGCATGTTAAAACACAAATGGTCACACCTTCTTTTCAGACAGCTACTGTACAAAACAAAAATTCATAATAAATATCTTACAGAAGAGGCTCAGTACACTGCTACAATCCTTCACTGAAGGGAAACATATATACATCTTTCTCTCTATATATATCTCCTATATATAACTTATTTGACTTACATCACCATAAATGCTACAGGTTTCTAAGAGAAGGATAGGTCAGGAATTCCAAAACAATCATCACCCAGTGAAATGTATGTATCAGACCTGGGCCCCAATGCCTGGGATCAGAACACCACACAAAGAAGTTCTGATCCTGATCCAGATTTTGTGCTGAGAGCGAATCTCTAGTAGCTACAGTAACTGGAAGAGTGAGAACAAGAGACTCAAAAGGTCTGCTTAAAATAGACAGGATTGACATTGGCGTGAATGAGGAACTGGCAGGTTTCCTGCCCTTGTCACCTCGAGGTTAGCTCAACTTTTCAGTGGTCAGGGCTGGACCGCACATGCTGGCGTTAAAACTCTTAACGCTTAGAGACACAGGCCTGGGCTGAATAATATAAAACAACAGCACCAGTGTAAATGCTTGCTATAATGTTACTTCCATATCAAGGACCAATACAGCAAAACACCATGGTATTTTTTCAACTGAGCTTTCTATACCACAGATGCATTCCCCCCCTCGTGATCCAGCGAATCACTTAAACCCATGCTTAACTTTAAACTCATCTGAAGTCCACAGATCTACTCACATGCTTAAAGCCAGATGTGCTCTTCAGTACCTTGTTGAACTGGGGACGAAGATTCCTCTTTCACATTATTAGGACTAAGGGGAACACAAGCCAAGCTAGAAAGTAATTGGGGAGCTAATCAAAAATATCACGCTGATTGGGGTTTGTCTGTAACCGGGAACTTGCACATGCAAGAAGTTCTAGCTAATGAACTGCGCCATGGACATAAACAGATGGAGGAGGTCTCTCTGCTTGTTTGACACCAGGGTGGACTTCATTATTAGCGCATATGTTTTTCTTGGCACAATTTCAGGGAAATCTCAGGTCAGAAATTGCAGTCTATCTCAAATGGGCGCTACAGCCTTGGGAGAAAAAACACATAGTTGCTTTTGAGTTAAACACTCACACACGAAGGAAAAAAATACCAAAGCAAGAAAGCATGACTTCAGCATCCAACTATTTGTTGGAGCGTGTGAGATGGTTTAAATTCCTGGAGCTAGAGCAGCGTTCCATGTATGTTCATTAGAGAGGCCTGAATTGAACCTCAAACTCTGGGGAAATTCAGCGCTGGATCCAAACTTTGCAGCTGTCCATTAGCTCCATAAAGGGGCCTAACAGAAATTCTGGATCCCCTATGCCGTGAACGTTTTCAAAGTCTGGATCCCGACGTGCACTCTCTGGCTCGGGTCCGTCCGTTTCATATATTGTGTAACATGCCGGTAAAATGATATTGGAGGAGAGTGCTATTGAGTTCATGACCTGTTCTACATACACATTTTCAGATCAGTGAAGGGAAGGTGAGAAACGTGTGAGCCACTGCATCCTGAAGGAACCCAATGTGGATTTGTAAAGATTTCCCAGCATATTTGGAGAAGGGCAAACTTGAGATTCAGTGGTTTGATTAAAGGAAACAACCAGATCAGCAGGGGTCTTCTCTTCCCTCCAGCCGACCCCCAGGATAAGAATATCTTTACTGGGCTTCAGTGGAAGTTATCCATATCCTGCTGGAGGAAGAGCAGGGCCTGAATGTTCTAGGTCTTCAAAATTAAGCTAGATGTCTGGTGAGGACAGGCTTTCTGGAAAGATTCCTGGTCCAAACAGCCGTTCTCATGCTATTTTGGCACATCTGCACCCAGAACCTAGAAATGCAGACGCAGCGGTGCTAAGGTTCTCTCTGGGTTCAGCTCAGGTTTGGGGCCCAGGTTTGGGTCAGTTCTTATTAAGAGGTGGGTAGGAACCAACCCTCCTTACTCCAGCTTCTGATAAGAGTTTAAAGCTCAAACCTCTCTCTGTAAGGGTCTAGATCCAAACCTCAAGGTTGAATAGGCCATGCTTTTGGATCTGGATTTTGAACCCCTAAATCAGGAGCTTTCAGATCTGGGATTTTGGTTCCGCCCAATATTGAGATACTGGTTGAAATATTCAAATGCAGCCAGAGAATTTAACCACACACCTTTGCACGAGCTAGCTAGATTTCCTGAAAGAAAGGACTAGAGTTTAATTGAAGAACCAAAATGTTTGTTTTCGCACTTCTCCTATTCCTGCTGCCCCTTATATTAAATACAGTGCACCCAGCAGCCAGACTTTTCTTTGTTCAAGATTAACAAAACTGACTTCTCTTTCACTATCCCAACTCCATTCGAAGGTGGAAGGGTCAATCCCCTTACCTTTTTCCTTGGCGTGGCTGTTTAATGGGGCCCTTTCACGTGGGCCAAGCTAGCAGAATGTTAACACTGGTCTACTCAGGGAGTGGGTAAAGGTCGGGGAGCCCCCTAGCACACTTCACGTAGCAGCTTTAGTTTGAAAGGTCACCGACTGCAGGAAAAAAAAGAGGGACCCCACTGTGGATGTTGTTTTGGGGCACCCCCCATAATGCGGTTGCCAGAGCACATTCTGCATGCAGTGCCAGCCCCAGGAGGAGCAGCAAGTCAAAGATGCAGGAGTCAATTTTTGGAATAATAACAACAGCGAAAAAATAAATAAATAAACGAATGGCTCTTACAAGGGCTTGCAGCCGCCCGCCACACAGTGCGCCCTCAGTGCTGACATCTGTGGTTGAAATAGCTTCCGTCGGGCCTCATCAAACACTCCCATTCTGTAACAATACTTTGCTGACCTTTAAGGAGCTGACTTTGGCCAGGCTGCTCCTATACAGATAGAAGACCTACAGCATGACTGCAGCTAGCCTGTGTCAGCTCACTTGGGCTCACAGGGCTAAAAATTGCAGCGTAGACATTCAGGCTCAGGGTGGAGCCCAGGCTCAGGGACCCTGCAATGGGGGTGGATCTTAGAGCCTGGGCTCCAGCCCGAGCCCAAACCTCTACGTTGCTATTTGCAGCCCCACAGCCAATCCCTGTGAGGCTGAGTCAATCGACCTAGGCTCGGTGTCACTGTGTAGACATAGTCCCAGGTACAGAGAACAGACGTGATTTCCCCAAGGTCAGAAAGCAGCTGCAAAGCCAGGAACAGAACCGGGGAATCCTGCCTCCTAGTAATCTGCTCTCACCACTATTCTGATGGGGAAATGCTGGCATGTCCCTCCCTATAGTACGGACTTTGCTTGAGCTAGCAAAACCTAGAATTAAAATACAGGGAAAATAGGGTCAATAGATTTTAGAACCCTTCCCCTCCACCGAATAGTTTTCAATGATCACAGAATCTTATCCTCCAGGAGGGTCACCCAGCCCTAATTAGAAAAGGACACACATGAGACAGGCAGAGAGAGAGAGAGAGACAGACAAATGGAGACCTTTTTAGTTCTCTGTGGTTTGTTTCCAACAATTAAATGGAAGCCGTACACATGCGAGACAGAGAGAGAGCATCAAAAGAGAGAAAGATGCTCAAGAGTCCCCAGGGTAGGGGCATAAGAAAAGGGAACTTCTGGGTAATATGAGGATCCCCTATTGAGAAACTTTGATGAAAAGTAAATTTGCACATTTTCCCTAAAGCCAGAGGCTGCTAATAGCTCTGATCAGTCTCACCGGATGCGTAGCACAGGGCTCTTGCTTCGAAAGGTGAAAGTTCAGAGACTGGCCAGATGTCTGCACTAGGGACAGACAACATCTGGGTCAGAGAGAGAAGAGCTGGCTACATTACTTAGCTCTGGTGGCAATCCCTGCTGGGGAAAAAAAAGAAAAGACTCCAGCCTTGGGAGAAGCTGTTTTAGATGTTCTAGTCAGGACTGGTCAGATGGAGAACAACACTAGGGCAAAGTAGTGGGAGAATTGACTGTAAACCAGGGAGGGTTTCTATGCGCAAGGAAACACTAGCTCGCACCCTCCTGGTCAGGAGGCAAGGCATAGTTGAGATGCAGCATCTAGCTTATATCATGCAATAAATATTTCACTCTTCAAAGCACTGTACAAACATCAGCTAATCCTCATGACATCTTGTTAATCAGGATAGTGCCAATAACCCCATTTTACAGCTGAGGAAGTTGAGGTTAAGTGACTCACCTAAGGCCGCATAAAGGAATGAGTGTCCTTTAGGCTCAGGAGGAGCTGGAGCTCAGTCCCCTGCTCACAGTGCTATGCCTCCTGCAACAGTTCATTGGTTGTCTGTGCAGGCTAACTGAGAGAGACAAGTCGGAAAGATTCAGATGGGCATGTGCAATGCTGGATTTGACTTTGCAGGTTGACTTTTCACAGGGCTTCCACTGCAGTGTGCACCACTGATGGACCGACTTTGTCCCCTCTCCTTCCATCTGTCCAGATGGTGGACAGCCATATATAACCATCTAAGAAAAGACATGGCCCTGAACAAGCCCCCTGGATCCAAACACCCCCAAACGTTGGGATAAAGGGGACCGAAATCGGAGCCACAATCCACAACAGAAGTTTTGCAAAGGGGCCCAGCTTCAAATGGGCTGAACCAAAGCCCTGGGTCCGAACACCACTACTGGAATTTACCAAATTAGTAGAAGGTCACGTTTTAGGCTTCTGCTCTCACAGTCTTCACCGAAGAACATGGGAATTGTACCTGAGTAATGGTGGCAGGATCAGGCCCTTTGTCCCACACAGGTTTTTTTTTTTTAAAATCTTTGTTAAACTCAGGGGTGCTGGAACAATTTGTATAGTGGGGGTGCTGAGAGCCATTGAACCAAATTGTGAACCCTGAATGTAATGGAAACCCCTTCAAGCCAGGTGGTGCAGCTATCCTACCCCTCAGCCTCCCTGCAGATGAGTCTCTCAGGCCACATATGGTAAATAATGGAGAGTGGGTGGGCATGGCTGAAACTCAGGTCATTCTTTTGGGAAATAGCCTAGAATATGACTCTCTCCTTAAATTAAAATTCATCTGCCATTGACCGGTAAAAATAAATCACATGACTCCTCCCTTCCCCCGGGCTATTTCCTCCCCCCCTCCCCTTGAGGTAGATGTCTATTGGCAGGGGATGAAACCAGAAAAGAGTCTTCCAAGCAGGTCTGCCCCCCGGGGGCCTGCTCAGGTCAATTAGTGCACGTTCACTTTTAAACCTACGTCCCTGCTTGACTTGCCAAGCCAGGTCTGGTCTGGTTAATAGGTGGCTACGTTATGCGTCTCCGATGCACTAGGCCTGCCCAGGCTCAGCATTCTTGCAGTACACAGGCAGCCGTCGCCGTCTGGGGTGGGGGCGAGCTGCATTTCTCAGGGGCTACAATCTTTCCTTCATAGTCAATGCAGGTGGCGCTCCGTGTCCGCACTCCCTCGCCGCAAGTTCGGGAGCACGGCGACCAGGGGCCGACGCGCCAGATGGGGCACGGGAGGTCACCGCAGGGCTTGATGTCCTCAGGCTTCAGAGCCTTGTCGCAGGTGGCAGAGGCCTGGCCCTCCACATCCCGGCATTCCACCGTTCGCCTCTGCCAGCCAGAGCCGCAGGTTTTGGAGCACTCGGACCAGTCTCCCAAAACCCACTGCGAGGTCAGCATGGGCTGGATGATGTTGGCGGATTTCTTCTCCTTGACCTTCTGCTTGCTAAAGGGGACGTCCTTGGGGATGAAGAAAGTGTACTTCACTTTGGGCGGGAAGACCTCACTGGAGACGGTCAGCAGTTGGACGGTGAGAGATTCCGGAAGCTGCTGGAAGCTCTGGAGCCGCTCCAAGGTTGTCAGAGAGCCGCTGTACTTCAGGATTGTCCCCTTCACCAGGAGGTCTTGCTCCATGGCTGAAATGGCAAAGTCTCCATTCAGGAGGTACTTGCCGTCCAGGGTTCTCAAAGCCAGGTAGTTTCCATCGTGTCGGACCCCTCGGTGGCTGCGTTGTTTGATGTCAATGTTGGTAGCTCCAGCAGGGATCGTGACAATGTCATTATATCCATACCTGCATGAATCAAGAGGAGATGGTTGTCGTCCTGAACTTACAAACAAATTAGTACAGGGACGGGATAGCATATTGCCCATGACAAGCTTGACCTAATCAGCACTCCAGTGCTGTGGCCAGGAAATTCTGCGACAGCCTCTGATAAAAAGTTAAACAGGAGGGTTTTTCTGAACAAAATGTGAAAATGGGCCGTGCAATCAATTATTTATTTTGATATGAAATTTCCTTTATTTGACACTGCCCCTAAATTTTTACATTGCAATGGGGCTGCAGAGTTTTGTACTGAAAGCTCAGATCCGTATTGGGACCTCATCACGGACACAGAGGAGAGTTTTGACAGCTGGGTATGAGGCAACTGGGGATTTTGATACCTGGGGAGGGATCAGTGACAGTTTGGAGCTAGAGGATAAGAACACTGGCTGGATGTTTCTGCTAAAACAATCAGCAGTTACTGATATTTATATTGTCCTCTTTAGGTTTCAGAGTTAACATCTCCTGTGAGACGAGGAGGGCAGTTCACACCTGTCTGAGCTATTTTTCCAGGCCGTCTGCAGATTCAGGCAGGTATCTCTGCATTGGTTGCACTTGGTTCATAGAATATCAGGGTTGGAAGGGACCTTAGGAGGTCATCTAGTCCAACCCCCTACTCAAAGCAGGACCAATCCCCAATTTTTGCCCCAGATCCCTAAATGGCCCCCTCAAGAATTGAATTCACAAGCCTGGGTTTAGCAGACCAATGCTCAAACCACTGAGCTATCCGGTTTTCTTTGCAACCATCAGAGACAGCAACTGGGTTTTAAAAAAAAGGAAACAAGATTCTGGAGTGCAGTTTTGCCGCTGGGCTGGATTCCAGGGCAAATTGTGTTGCTGTCGAATCCTGGAGTACACAGGGGCCTAGGGACTGCAGTGTGAGCACTGAGTCATGGCTATGGACTAAAAGGCCTTTAAGTCAGGGACACTCTGTCATTGTGCCTTGTACATTGTCTGTGCTCAGCAAACAATAATGATCATCTGTGACAGGTATGAGGCAACACACTAGAATCCAGCACTTGGCACAAGTCAGCACCTGTAACCGACAGGAATATTCACACATGGCATTTCAAGGGCTTGCGTTGTGGCTGGCAATTATGCGTAGAGTATTTTGGAACAAAGCCTTAGGGTCGAATTCTGCTTTCCGTCGCGCTGGCATCCTTAACCCTGATCTTAATAGGATCTCTTGTAGATTAAATCCTTTTGGCTGTCATTACCACGTTAATCTCTCTTTAGTCAACCACAAACAATTCATTGGCAAATGGAAGTTCCATTCATTGTGTTCCCTGGAAGGAAACCATTTAGGAAATCTAATTGGACTTTGGGAGTAATCTCGCCACATGGAATTTGATATCTCAGCCCTTTGTTACTCTCTTTCCAAGAAGCCTTTTATATTGGGCTCTGTTGGCTAGCATTATTCTGCTTGAAGTTTAACCTTTAAGCACACAGGGCCAGCTCTTCGGATGGTGTCAGTTGCCACAGTTCTATTGATGTTAGTGGCAATACACTGATTTATACCCTCTTTAAGCTCTGGCCCAGACAACAAAACTCACCAGCGTGTCAGGCCAGCATGAGATCATTGAGCCATGCAAGCATTGCATAGGTCTTGTGCTGGCCCACTGCACGCAGGTGAAATTCAACCTCTCCGCTCAGGGCAAGGACTGACTTTGTGTGCTTTGTAGAGCACCAAGCCCATGCCAGTGGCACCAGATAATGTTGAAAGCAACAGGCACTGATTGGGTTACATAAGGAATAAACTTTGCAGAAGTTTCATGGAGTTTGAGGCAGAGATAACGAACAGAACAGGGTCACTTGACTGGATTCGGAGCTCATTTACACTAGTGTAAATCCAGGTTAACGTTATGGAAACCAACAGAGTTACGCCTGATTTATACTGGTGCAAAGTAGATCAGAATCTGCCTGACTAACAGGTAGTTTAGAGTCTAAACTTGTGTGTGTGTGTGTGTGTGTGTGTGTGTGAGAGAGAGAATTGTTTTTGCAACCTTAATAATATCATGATACCTTTAAAAGTTAATGTTAAGAGGTATTTTTAAAAAAATATATTTAAAGTTTTTCCTGCAATTTTGGCATCCACAACATTGCAGCACTTAGATAGCACATAAGAATCAGAAAGTGTAACGGACAAGGGACAAAATGTTAGTCTGACCGGGTCTGGGTTCACTATCCAAGCTGTTTCAAGAGTAAAAATTAAAACAAATGGGGAAGAGTAACCTAGATGATTAAATCTGAAATAATTGTCAACATCTGACATGCTGCTGGTCGTCTGTGTAAGGAGATATGCTTTTAGTAATGTGTGGGGGTATTCTTTGCTCGGCTACACCCTGTGTGAATGTATTAATGTCAGTGAGGTTGCAGAGGTGTAACTGAGTGAAGAATCGGTTCAGAGGCTGGATCCTGAGCTACTGTAGATCAGTGGAGCTCCACTGAAGTCTAGTGTTTGGCCCCTTGGGAAAGAGCCTTGGAAACAGTGACTATGTTTTATGATTAAACCCCTTTTTTCACTGGGCTTGATCCTGCAAAGCTCCCATTAGCCGGAACGATGGAAAATCAGGACCTCTGAGAGCATCCGTCCAGAGTTTGCAGGTTGTTTGGGGGTTTGATCCTGCCAGGGGCTGAGTGAGTATCAGGACCATTATGAGGTGAAAGCTGCTGCTCCAAAAACATCCCCAGGAGAGACAACCCTCTCTCACTTGGTGCACCTTTACGCTACGATCATGTCCTTCCAACACACCCTGGAATACCAGGCTTCAACCTTCCCAGGACTTACTTGGATCTGTTGAGTGAGCCAGATATTTTCCTGCATGTTGACCCATTGCCACCGCACACCCCACACTTGTCGAGCTTCTTGGAGGAGCCAACCACGTGGTCACAGCCAGCTTTGATGCACTGCCCGTGGACACAGATGGAGAGGGTCTCTGGCCCACACAATGTCCCATCGATTACCTGGGCCATAAGAAGCAGACAATAATGAGACAGTTCCATGACCCCAGCTGGGGCCTTTCATTCAATTATATTCCAGGCAAGGACAATAATAATTAAAGGCAAGTGTCTTACTTTGGCCTCAAATACTTTGAATTCGCTCCTCCCTCTGGCTCGGCAAAAGAGCTTGCAACGGTCCCGGGGGGACACCCCTGAATACTTGGGGAGCCACTCCAGCAGATTCCCATCCAGATCTGTGAAGTTGTAGCTGTTGTACTTTTCGCACTGCTGCTCTCTAAAGCTCTTCCCTGAAAGGAAGGGGAAATGTGACCCGACAGCAACCTAAGGGCAATGAATCACTTGCCTGAAGTCTTACAAATGGCATCCATCCAGTCAGTGAGCTATGCTTGCTGCTTATCTGTGCATACACACTGCAAGTCTCACCAGTAGACCCTGTGGGAGCTGGTAGCTGGGTGGATACCCCTACCAGAAGACTGTGGCCAGTTAACCTGCCAATGGCTCTTGGGGAAGTGGTGACTGGGGAAGGGGTGGTTTTGATGAATAAGCCTGATGGTAAGTGTGGGATGGGAGGCCGTGAGCTGCCTCCAGAAGCTGGGTGAGGGATACTCTGATTGTCTCAGTGGCAGACAGAGCCCTCCCTGTCTCCCTAACATTACGCTATGCAGTGCCGGGCAGTCAGATCTCAGCAGACAGGCTGCTGCCATCCATAATGCCTCCTAAATTATATCGATAGCTGTACAATGGCTCCTTTCACTCCTGCACTGGGAAATCCGGCCGTATTCTCTGGAGCGTCTGCAGACGGAGCCAGGGATATTGTGTGGAGGGTAGTGTGACTTGCAAACAGCGGATTACCATCCAGCGGGCATTCCTCTGTGCGGCATGACTGATATTTGGCTCTCTGACCCTCGCAGTATTTTCCACCGTTCTGAGGTGCAGGATCATTGCAGTCCCGGTACGAGAAGTGCACTCCTCCTCCGCACGTCCTGGAACAGGCTCCCCACGGGCTCCAGGGGCCCCAGTTCCCATCCACCACGGGCTGCAAGACATTGCAAAGGATTCTGTTACAGAAGGCCCTTGTTACGGCAATGAAATAAATCAGTAATAATCTTTTGCTCTTATCTAGCGCTTTTCAGCAGTAGATCTCAAAGTGCTTTACAAAGCAGATCAGTATCATCTCCATTATACACATGGGGAAACCAAGGCACGGGGAGGGAAGTGACTTGCCCAAGCATTAGGCCAGTGGCCAAGCCAGGAATAGAAGCCAGGTCTCCTGAGTCCCAGTCCAATGCACTACTCACTAGAGAGGCCATTTGTGGGATGTTCAAAAGGGTTCTGAGTACCAAAGATGGACAATCTCAGCCTATACAGGCAAGCCTAAGTGCCTAAGGGACGTGGCTGCTTATGGTGGCAGGCTGTTAATGGCCTAGAAGTTATGTTACAGTGTGTTTGTCTGTCAGGCGGTGTGTTGCTGTCGCCCGGGGTCGCTGGCAGCGTTCATTTCTAAATAGATAAATATGACAAAAAGGTGTTCTACAAAACCCGATGGAGGTCAAAATATTTTTTAAAAAAATGCAGCCAAGCCACATGCTCTGGCTGAGGTTTAAACATCCCCTGTGACATTTGCAACCCAAACCTTGCAGCATCACGGGAGACCCAGACAGGGAACAAGCCTGTGGTGCCCAAGCGAAACGGAGCAGTCCACGTCCCTCGTGCCAGCTGAGTGACGTGCAGAAAGCAAACAGCGAGCAGCAAGGGGGGCGGGGTAGGGGGGAACACAAATATGATTGTTTGCACATTAAAAGATCATTATGATTGCAGCAGGAGCCCACAAAGGACAGGAAACTCACAGTTAAAGGAGTAAAGAGCCGATACTTTGGCACACTAGGAGAGGTGTTCTCTCCTCAGTTCTTAGCCTCTGTACTCAGTAGCAAGGTCATGAAGGCCAGAGGAATCACACCAGAGGAAAGCAGTTGTGAATTATGACTCAGCCTTGTGATTTTTATCCTGACATTGATCCTGTCATGTAAATATGGAGGGCAAATAAAGGACTACAGCACCAGTGAAATGACCCCATATGTTGCTGCCTAACAGTGCTGACGGGGGCCCTGATCTATCAAAGCACTTATGCACCTGCTTATCTTTAAGCACCATCAACTTTAATGAACCTATTCAAGTGCTTACAGTTAAGCGCGTGTTTAAATACTTTGCTGCACTGGGGCCTGATTCAGACGTAGCTGATCTCCGTGTACGTTCCCAGCGGGGAAAGAAAATGACTCAATGGCACAAGGACAATCTGCTCTGTCGAGTTCAGACCAGCGCAAACCATAATGCAATTCACTGCAGAGTTAATCTATGAGCTGGCCTTACCCAGCACAGGCTGAAATAAAAAATCTCTCAGTGTAACATGCCATCAGAGGAGATATTCACAAGAAAACCAGGTAAATCAAAAGATATGAGCCCTTCCTGGATACAGGTTAGGACGGACTAGGATAAGGGAACCGCCTCCCGCCCCCCCCCAATTTTGTAACATGAGGTGCTTCATTTATAAATTACCAGATGTCTAGGAGCCCAATTCTAATTGGCATAAACCTGATCCACAGGGATCCACATTAACAGACTGGATTACAGGATCAGGGCCATCGACACTATCAGCAGTTAACACTCACACCCAGAATATTTGCTCATCTTGTCTCTTCCTTGAGAGCCGGGCAGAAATTGTTTTGTGTTTGAGTTCACCCTCCTTGGATGTAGGCAATGAGGAAGTAGGGTCTAGCAGTCTGAGCACAAGGCTGGGAGTCAAGACTTCAAGGTTTTAATCCCATCTCTGCTAGTGAGTTGCCATGTGGCCTTGGGCAAGTCACGTCGGCTCATTGCGTTAGGTTCCCCACCTGGGGTTAACAAGACTTCCCTGGCTCTTGGGAGCAATCATGTATGCAAGTGCTAAGTATTAACTCTACTTAGATAACAAACTGTTTGTGGCAGATGCTCTCTTTTTGTTCTGTGTTTATACAGCACCTAGCGCCGTGGGCTCATGGGCCATGACTTGGGCTCCTAGTGCTACCACAATACACATAAGAATGATAATATGGCCTTCAAGGCTGGGCAATGCCTAAAGCTCAGCTGCTTTTTAAAGATGATTGTGGAGAGGAAGATCATGGGCAGATGCCAGAGGGCCCGGCTCTTCAGCCTCATTCGTGGTGAATAGTTCTTTTACCCAGGTAGAGACAGATCATCTCTTTCCCATCAGCCATTCTGTTACCTGGGGCTTCCTCGCATCTTGTGCCACGCAGCTGCCATCCCAGCACAGCCTGCCCACTCCACAGGGCGTACCGTCTGCCCACGGCAAGCTGCCATTTTTGGTGTGACATAGGGGCTCCCTGGTGTCCATTCTACACCACAGCTGTGCACAGATGTCCTCGTCCGTGGTGTTTGGGCAGTGCCGGAACTCCTTGCCAAAGATCTGCTGGCACTGGCGGTCCAGGTCGTACATGGAGAGCTGGCCTGGAAGGTCTGTGGGGAGGACGATGGGTTCGGCTGGAGCATCAAGCAGACAGTCACCTAGTCAGCAAACAGGGCAAAGCAGAGTGAGGCTGGAAATGAAGGAGTTTACCATTCAGCTAAGGCATAGTCCTGGGCTCCTAGGGGCCAGCTCCATTCTCTTTTGCTGTCCAGCAGGGATGACTTTATTATCTCTATGCTGTCCCTGATCAGTGGGCGTCACGTCTAAGCCGGCAGTATCCCCCAGTGAAGCAATTCCTCAGCTGCCATTGGCTGCATGAAGCTGCCCCAACACCACTGCTTCCCGAGCATAACTGGGACGCCCCAGTGCACGGTGTCTGTGACGGAGAGCTTATAAGCCAAGCAGGTGGGTAAAAGACTGATATGGGACCTTGGGGGCCTCTGACCTATTCAGGCTTTGCCTGGCTAAGATGTCAGCCAGGGCCCACTGCCTGCCTTTCACAGCTTGCGTGTTCCAACCTGCCGCGGTGCTTGGACTGGCCTAGGAGCTGTTAGAGATGAAGTCTGTGCACCCAGCTGAACAGGAACCAGGGATATCAATAGGGCCATATTGTCAATGGCATATAGGCACCAAAGGATGCAGATGGGCTCGAATGGGATTTTCAAAAGTGCCACAGCAGCTTAGGGGCCTAAATATGTTTGAAAATCTGGCCCTGGAGGACCTGTGCTGGTCTGGGTCCCCGTGGTCTGGAATAACCCCAGCCATCCAGTGGGTACTGAATTGATTCCTACCATGTCCCCCGTCAAGAAACTCTGTGAGGTACATGGCGCTGCAGGGGGACCAGGGCAGGGTCTTGTTCAAGTGGACAAAGAGAGGCGCCATCATGTGGTGTTTTCCCAGGGGCCCAAAGAGCCTCTCACAGGTCTTGGAGTCGTCATGGGGCATGCTGAGCACGTGTCCTGGAAGAGGAGAGCACCTGAATGTTAGCAAGCCATCTTCCTCCCTCCTCCCATCCTCACTAGCCTACATCCTCTCTGAGTACATCCCGACTGGCCTCTGACACTTCCCGCCCTTCTCAGGCTGACAGCCTTGTCGTGGGTTTGAACGGGGAATCCCCATCTGCTTCCAGGAGAGTCCCACACACAGAGAGCCCAAGGGGAGCACCTCTCCTAGGACAGGCATCAGCCAGGTGTAGGCAAAAGCAGGTGCCACCATAAAAAGGGAATGTTCAATACAAGAGCAAAGGACCACAGTGAATAAAAAGAAAAGGGTTTGGAGTGCTTGGGCCAGATCCTCAGCTAGGGTAAAGTGGCATAGCTTGACTGCAGGGGAAAAAAAAAAAAAAGACGTTTGGTGCCATCATCTTGTTTGCTCTATTTGGGTGTATTACCTCTGCCCCCACCCTGGGTCTGCCTGGTTTATTGAGCTGATAAACTCTTTGGGACAGGGACTGTCTACACTCTGAGCACTGAGCAGTACCTGTCACAGTTGGGCCCTGATCTTGATTGGCCCTTAGACACTAATATAATAAACATCATTTATAATAAAATAATAATAAATAATAATAATTGAAGTCAACGGAGCTACGCCAGTTTACAATGGTGTACACCAGTTGAGGATCTGGCACTCCAGTTTAAACTGCCCCCTCCCAGCCCCCCTGACTTGAGAGAGACTTCAGAGCCGAGAAGCTGGAGCTATAAAGACCCTGCCATGGATTCTGCTGCAGTGGCCCGGCTGGCTGTTCCTCGAGAGCGTGCCATACAAAAGGAGTTACCTAGTTCATGAGCCAAGGTGTAGGCAGCCTGGAGACCCTCATCTTCAATCACAGAGCAGCTTTTGTTCGGGTCACACATGGTGCCAATGTCTGCCACTCCCAGGGTGTCGCAGCTCTGGTGCCCACAGAAGTCCTGTGTTTGAAAACGGAACCAGGGGAAATATAGTTAGAGAAAGCATGGGTCCCCATCTGATTCTATGGACTCATGGCCTGTATAGATTTGTAGGAATATGGCTAACCAGGGATCTATTGATTGTTCCGTTAGCATGCCACTCCCTGGGACTGCAGGAGCCCTTGGGTCTATTCCCACTTCTAGCTTTTCCTTGTATGTTAACCTGTGTCTTGCTACATAGATTGCTGAAAGAACTGTCTATGTCTGTATGTTTGTGCCAGGAGATGGTACTGCACGTTAGACTCAAATCTACCAAGCTCTCTCATGCTTGAGGCATAGATAAAATGAACTCCTAGATCATTGCTGTCTATAAATCCCATGGTTCTGTGATATGAAAATAAGTAAGACAAGATGTGGCCTATTAACTGACTACTAAGTGAGATTCCTCGAGCAGCTGGTTTTCTAAAATTCACTGTTATGGGATCTGTAGGTCAGTGAGTTTCCAAGGAGTTTTCATCTCTTCCTTTTCTCTGAAGTTCTGATGCCTTTGCTGGGCACTTGATGATGGACCAGAAAGAAAATATTTAATGGAGAGGAAGGACAGCTTTATGAGTAAGCACTGGAGTGGGAATCAGGAGATCTAGCTTAAACTCCCAGCTCTGCCTCAGGGTCCCTGTGTTACCTTGGACAAAGTCATGTCATCTCTCCGGGTCTCAGTTCCCCACCACGGACGTGGGAATAACAGTCTACACTCTAAATAGAATGTAAGAGCCTTGGAGAAGGGACCATCTCTTAGTAGGTGTATGTACAGCACCTAGCACTGTTAGAATATTGGACTGGAGGGCTATAGTTCTGCCCCCTCCTTATCTCCCTCTATGCTCCAGGCCATGGCCAAGGTAAATCCCATATGGATTCTGGTCTGTCAGCGGCTGAGACTACAGACCTGTCTAGTCAGCAGGACGGCAGTGTCATAGTGCTCTGGGTGACGGTCACTCGCGGGGTTGAAGCTCTGTTGCCAGTTGCAAAAGTTGCGCAGCGTGAGCCCTCCATTATCGGACACTTCCGGCCCGGCCTTCTCATCCTCCACAACCAGCACCTTCACCACCACCAAACTGACGGAGTTCTTCAGGGTAGGGTGCTGGTAGATCCGAGCGGCCACTGACATCAGGGTCAGAATGTGGTTCTGAAAGGAGAAAGGCAGGCGGGCAACCAGAGGGTTAAACCCTTGGGTCCAAAGTATACAGCGTGAAGCCTGCCACTTTCTGTTCCTTCGCAGGGGCCGCTAGTTAGGGTTCTATTAAGTCCCGGGCACTAGGGACGAAGCAATACAACCTTCCTGACAACTTCTACAGCGTCTAAAGGGGGCACCTAACAAACATCCTCAATACGCTCCATGGGCCGCATTTTCCATTGCCCTGCGCCTTGGGCAGTCATTTACACCAGCCCAGAGGAGGCATAAAATTCTTACACCTGTTCTGTACTGGTTTAAATTATAACCAAGGTGCAAGACCAGGGAAAATCAGATCCCCTAGATCGGGGGGGCCAACCTGAGCCTGAGAAGGAGCCAGAATTTATGAATGTACATTGCCAAAGAGCCACAGTAATATGTCAGCAGCCCCCCATCAGCTCCCCCCCCCCCGGCCCCCGCTCCTAGTGCTTCCCGCCCATCGGCAGCCCCGCCGCTCCCCCTCCCTCCCTGCACCTCCTGATCAGCTGTTCCTTGGCATGGAGGAGGCTCTGGGGGGAGGAGTGAGGGCATGGCAGGCTCAGGGGAGGGGGCGGGAAGGGGCGGAGTGGGGGCAGGGGCTGTGGCAGAGTCGGGGGTTGAGCAGTGAGCACCCCCCGGCACACTGGAAAGTTAGCGCCTGTAGCTCCGGCCCCGGATCCGGTGCCTAGACAGGGAGCCGCATATTAACCTCTGAAGAGCCGCGTGTGGCTCCGGAGCCCCAGGTTGGCCGCCCCTGGTGTATCTAGGTGCATCTCAGTCGATGTCGGTATTGCCTTTTGTTATAGCTTGGAGCACTGCCGACCCTCTGTACGGCAAATAACACACTGCCATCTGCAGCTGCTCAGGAGAAGGATGTCAATGATCTGAGGGATGTGTCTGTGTCCTCAGTAATAGCGTGAGCCATGCCCTCATTTTCCAGCCCCAGTCCACTAAAGCCAGGAACCAATCAGAATGTAACCACTTTAACTTGACATTTTCCATCTCAGTGCTGTGTATATAACACCCACATGTCCATGTGGTCAGCGGGGTTTGACCCGAGGGCCTTTAGCTCCAAACTACAGGCCTCTGCTAGTTGAGGTATAGCAAAAACTCTCTTAGCTAGCAACAGTAGCAGGTTATTAACCTCTATGTGGACCAGCCTCTAGAGGGGGCATGACACATGCTTTACAAGCATTTTAAAGATACAAAATCTACATTATTGGATGTATGATTGCAGTATGAACATGGGGGAGGGGAGAGCAGAGGTAAAAATCAATGTAATTCTGTTGACTTTAATGGAGCGACGCTAATTTTGACTAGCTGAGGATCTGGCCCCAAGTCTTCACTCTATGGTATGGTGGAGTATTTGCTGGCCTTTACACTCAGCTTCAAATATGTGCTCTTTAAACACATTCTCCACTCCTGAAGGGTGGTCAGCGTTCCTGGCTCAGAGATTCCTGGGAGGTACGAGCACAGCAGGAAATAGGCGAGTTTGTTCCAGCAAGCGCTGAGTGCTGCGGTACTTTAGTCCAAACCGCGTGTGGGCGTTAGGCTCCGGTGTTATTATTTGTGAATGGGATTTGTTCCTATAGCACTTATGAAAGCTGCCAAGCATTCACTCAGGAGTTCCTTCTGCTTGGGCGAACCGGCGAACCAGAGGTTATTGAATACGTCAAACGCTCCAGCAATGTTTAGGTTGATGTAAACATCTTATCGGCGCATTGAAATTCCTCCTCTGTTTGGCACCGTCTCACGGAATCATATTCATGAGAAAAAAATGCAATCATGTCACAACAGCATGAGAACTGGGGAAGAGAAAGCGGCTTCTCTCATCCCAGGCAAATTACACTTTGCGGTCTCAGTGACTTTAGCATAATTATGTAATTAGATTAGAGTCAGACATAAGGACTGAATTCTGCCCTTTCTTATACCTGTGCCAATCCAGAGCCGCTCTGAAGTTAGCAGAACTGCTACAGATTTACACCAGCAGCTGAGACCAGAATTTGGCTCTGTGAGTTTAACAATCTCAGCTGTAGCTGGAGTGAACAGTATCCCGTAGAATGGAACGCGCCAAGTTCTTTGCCTCAGTGGGGAATAAACAGCTCGCAGTGCTCACAGCCTTTCCTGGGCCAGTGATTTGCATGGGAGGAGCAGAAGCACCATTTGTTTCGAAAATTAGTAAGACTCACCAATGCACACATGTAAATCAGTGGCCATGATGGGAGTCTCGCTTGCATCCCAACATTCAGTGGATCGGAAATGTTGTCACAACACGGAGCCTCTGATGTACTTTGCAACGTTCATACATAAATAACGTACAAAATGACTTTCATCCCCAAGGATCCCCAGGCACTTCACAGACTGTGTGTAGAGATCAGTCATTGCTGATAATGCAGCCACTTCTGGGGTGGAATGAGAGAGCTGTTTAACAGCAACACTGAACAGTACCTAAGGGTATGAAGTGAAGAATACCACAATCAACTGAAACTGCAGGGAGCGGCAAGAGTCAGGAGGTGCAATGTAATTAACTAAACGGAAGTGTGACTGACACACTGCAGTCAGCATATCCCTGTTCCTATGAAAAGTGCCACTCCTAATTTGCAAAATGTGGTCAGGAGCTTGGATTTATGTCTCATCTGAAAGATTAATTGGTGCACTGGGGCCGCCTTGAACCAGTGCCATATAAGCAGGACATTCCTAGTTATCTTAAATCATTCTGTAACATGTTATCCTATCACAGAATAGCCACGCGAACAGATGTCTAATTTTAGCAATAGGCACGTTAGTCAAATTCAGTCCATTGTGTTATAGCAGGCACCAGAAGGAGTGAGGGGCACACTCGCTCGACCTGTTTATTCAGACTGGCCAGAATTCCATTATGTGACATACAGCTACAAAGCATAGAGCAGATGCAGCAAAGAATTCACTCTTGAGGCAAGAAACATACACAAGACTGTGCAATGTCCACTGTTACTGTTCCAGGGGAAATGTGGGAATTCTTTGTCTCTGCCTCAAGGTAAAGTCAAAATGGGCACCCTGATAAAGAGGCCACAAAGCTGTGGAATAATGCATCTGAAGAGGACTCCATATTTCACAAGACTAGGGTTGAAATTGGCATAATAGCCTCTAATTTAAAGCAGAAGGCTCCCCGAAGCACTTGAACGCATATGCAAACCATCCAGGGGTTCACATCACCCACCACTGAAATGCAGCTGTCTCTGGGGTGGAATATGGTCACTGCTTAGTAGAATATAGCAATGCTTGGGGGGGTGGGGGATGAGGTAACAAGGGAGACTGGAACCAGAATGAGAATTTTGAAGGGTCTGAAAATAATTACCTATATTGAAATGGCCCAGACACCTGGGTTTACAGCTCAATTCTTGCAAAGAGTGCTATGAGATCTTTTCTGGTCCAAAGATGCAGGATACAGGAGCACGCTGTGGTGGGGTAAGCTGGTTTGGCAGATGGCACAGTGGGGCTTGGGTTAAATTCTTATTTCCTGCCTGTATCTGCAAACATAGAAAAGAACTGGAAGGCAAAGATGGAAAGTGAACTGAACAAACAGCTATTTAGTGTAGATTAAAAGGTCAAATTCACTTGTTCCACCATCTGATGTCTATTTATACCAGCGCTCGGCCTGGGCAGCGCATTCTGGTTCAGCTGGCCCATGATAGGAACCTGGCTGCTCTTGGGAGAGAAGCAAGTCACCTGCAGAATGTACATTTGACCAGCAGAGCCAGTTCAGAAACACGTTGGAATCTGAGGGGTTCTGCAGAGGCCAATCATTGTGTTTTCTCAGCCAAAGACAACATTTAAAGTTGTTTGATCCTGCTTTTCCACCTTTCTTTCTGCCACCCCTAGCCCTAGGGGCTTCTGTATTAATGAAGAACATCCAGGGTGAGATTTAGCCTCTCTCTGTCATTGGATCTCCATGGATTTGCCTTCGTGGTGTCCCTGCTGCTGAGGAAGCAGGGTAAGATTTAAGAAAAGGGTGGAATCAAGGCTGAGGAGATCAGATCTGATGAAATTAAAAATCTTGTGAGCCATTTTTGCCACCTTGAACGGAGTTGTGGGATCAGGAGCATTCTTGTGAGATTTCCGCCATCTTGCTCAAAAAAACTGCTCTCGAGATTTCACTCACATTTTTAACTAACGCGAAACAATTGGTCCTTTTCCAGTCCTGGATCTGACCGAGAATTAAAACTGGAGGGGCAGGTTCCAATCTGGGGAGACGAATCTGGATCATTATCAAATTCTCAGGGGAAAGGGAGAGGAATCCTTCCTTTTCACCCAGTGCATTGGTACAGCTGCCTGGGCAGATGTAGCAGGATTTGGCCCATACTGGAATAAAGTGGTAAGTTTCCACTGTTTAATGAAGCCCACGGAAACTTTCCACCTCCCTAGTAGTGGTTGTGGAGTTGTGATTCTCTGCTCATTGCTATTGCGAGAAAACCAAATTCCATCCAATTCCCCCAGAAGGAGAAACAGACAGGGTAACGCATCAGAAAATGCCACTCAATGACCCTCAGTAGCAGACACACCAGACTTAGGAACTTAAGTGGTGCCTCAGTTTCCCTCTGGGAATGATGTTTCTTAATATCCCTAATGAGGCGCTTGAAGATCTATAGCTGACGTACTGCGGAAGCGTAGATATTAATTATTATTAGGTATTATTATGCTCAGGTAGTATTAACAGCTTCTGCTCAGCTGAGTTACAAAGCAAACAAACTGCCTTCCCAGCAAGGAACCCACGTGCCCCATCGGTCACGCCAGCAGCTCTGCAGCTGACTGACATGAAAAGCACGAACCATGACAGATCATGAGACTGCTACTAGTGTACAGCACAACACAGGGCGAAGGAGATAAGATGAGAGATAAGAACGTAAGTGGCGACGTTTAATTTGATCACATCTAAGGATTCCATGTGACTAAAGAGTCTTGCGAAACGCCTCTCTGCACACTTATTTATCTGAATC